TGGGTTTGGGGTCTCTCCCGGAGAAAGATCTCAGCCGGGGGTCTTTCAAGGCCAGCCTAGTCTACAGAGCGAGTTCCAGGACAGCCAGAACTGTTATACAGAGAAATCCTGTCTCTAAAAACCATTAAATAAATAAACAAATGGAAATGCAATCTCTATAAGATGATGAAGAAAGAGATGAAACATCTGGGTGTCTGGTATCTATGTGGGCAGACAGTGTCTGGTCTGCCTGTCCTTAGACTTTTTGTTATATGTGGAAAAAAAGATATTTCTTTTTACTCTTGACATATTTAGCTGCATATTCTGTCACTTAAAACTTAAACAGACATGTCTGCTGCTGTTGCAGATTCTCTGTAAATGCAATCTGCCTGGATTATTTGTAGGACTGGAATGTCAGCCACTTTAGAAAATTTTGGGTGAGAGACCCTGAAAGCCCACCTATGGCCAGGTGACTAGTGGGGGTTAGATGATCTGCTGAAATGACTGGATTGGAAAGTAATTTACATGGACTAAGTTTTTTTAAATTTAACCAAAATGTAAATCCAAGTACCTTTCCCTTTCCTTTTTCTTTCCTCTGTAACCCAAGCTGGCCTTGAACTTTTGATCTTCCTACCCAGGCCTCCAGAATGTTAGGAGTGTAGGCATGGACCACTGTGCTTAGCTTTTCTTGTATTCTCAAGTGAGCAGACTGAGTGCAAAGGAGTATTCACTTTGAAGTGTATTCATAGTGGAATATTAAAAAGATTTACTCTGAAAGACTGTCAGTGCTTAGTTAGGTCATTGATTACCCTAGTTTACTTCCACAGTGCCAAACAAATTTTAACATTCTCTTTAAGAATTATGTTCAGAACCTGAATCACAATTTTAGGGAATGGTAGCATTATAGCAATGTTCACAAATAAGTCTTCTAAGCTTAGATTTGATATAGTGAAATGTCCAGAGTTGACCTGAATCTAATCTAGTAAGCTGTGAGCAACCACACACACACACACACACACACACACACATACATAGATGAAATAGATTATTTTTGATTTGTTTTGCTGAAATAAAGCAGTTACATGTGTACCCAGAATGATCAGACGTGGAGCAGATCTGAAGATGTGCTGTAGCAACAGTGATGTCACTCAGGTGAGCACATCTTCCCACAGTGACTACTTGGATGGCCCCACATTCCTTCACATGTGTTAGGCAAACATGGCAGTCTTGCAGGAACTTTGAAGAAACCAGATGTTCCATTTCCACCTTTCCCTTGCCATTCTGTCTTAATGTTTTTAGTCTGTAACACACTGAGTGTTTAATAGGTCAAAGACATTTTTGTAGTGTTGTTACTTTATATCAGGTGATTACAGTAGTAAGGCAGAATAGTGTCAAAAATAAGGAAGTAAACATTTGAATCCAACAGAATTTTATTTGAGCGCCAGCTTTACTACTAACTAGCTGAATGATTTGAATAGTTATTTAATCACTTAAGTCTTATTAGGATTTATTTGAAGCTTGGAAATAAATGCTTAAAAGTGGCACTAAGTTGTTTTTTGATTTTTTGTTTGTTTGTTTGTTTTCACTTTTTTTTTCTTGGTTTTTCGAGACAGGGTTTCTCTGTGCAGCTTTGAGCCTTTCCTGGAACTTGCTTTGGAGACCAGGCTGGCCTCAAACTCACAGAGATCCGCCTGGCTCTGCCTCCCAAGTACTGGGATTAAAGGCGTGCGCCGCCTGGCTTCACTTATTTTTTACATATGTGTGCCTGGTGGATGACAACTTCTGGTAGTAACATATCCATTCTGGTTTGCCTCCTCTCCTCTCCTCTTCCCTCTCCCCTCCCCTCCCCTCCCCTCCCCTCCTCTCCTTTCCTTTCCTTTCCTTTCCATTCTCCGTTGTTTATCTAATGCATTCTTTCCTGTGTTCTCATGGATGAAACTGTTTTACTCTTCCCATGTGTATAGTATGCCTTTAAGACTTTTCTGCCATTTTGGCTTAGATGTCATGAATGTCTTACTGTATTAGTCAGAGTTCTCTAAAGGAACAGAACTGAGAGCCAATATGTATATATAATATATATGTATATATAATACATAAATACATACAAACACATACACACTATATATGTTACTGTCCAGCTAGTTCCACAGTAGCTGTCTCTGGATGACTCTGGTCACTGTTTGGTCCATGAGGCTGAATGTCTCAGCTGGTCTTCAGTTCTACAACATCAGAAATCCCAAGAAGCAGGTTCTAATACCAGAAAAGACATGCCTCAGCAACAAGATAGATGAATTTATTAGCAAGAGTGAGGGCAAGCAGGCAAAAAGCAAAAGCTTCCTCCTTCCATGTCCTTTCAGGTGGGCTGCCACCAGGTGTGGCTTAGATTTAGAGTGAGTCATCTCACTTCCACTGATCCAATCAAGGACACTGGTGAGACCAGCTGCTTTGGTTTTTGTTGATTCCAGATAGAATCAAGTTGACAATCAAGATGATTCCTCACACTTGTGTTTGTCTCCAGACATTCTTATTTCTCCATTCATTTTAACAGATAACTGCTAGGTAGAGTGATTTTGGTTGATTGTTACTTGCTTGCAGGATTTGCAATCTATGATTCCAAAATTTCTGGGCTTTTGGGTTGCTGATGCCAGAGCTAATGTTATTCTGATGTTTCTGCCTCTGTATATGCATTAGTCAAGATTCTCTAGACTAACAGAACAACTAAGACAGTATAGTAACTAGTACTAGTTAGCATTTTTTTCTTACAGCTTGTATTACTGTTTCTGTGCTTCATATGTGTGAGTCTTTAATTTTTATTTTATATGCATGATTTTTTTCTTTTTAAAAATTCATTTAACTTTATTTTTATGTGCATTGGTGTGGAGGTTTTATCTGTGTGTTTGTATGTATGTGCACTATGTGTGTGCCTGGTGCCCTCAGAGGCCAGAAGTGGGTACCAGACCCCCTAGAACTAGAGTTACAGATGACTGTAAACCACCCCCTAGGAGTTGGATCTGAGTCATTTGCAAAAGCAGCCAGTGCTCTTAACCACTGAGCCGTCTCTTCAGTTCTTTACATTTTTGATCTATTTTTTAAGATTTTATTTTTATGTTATGTGTATGGATGCATGTCTGTGCATCTGTATACCATGTACGTAAGTGCCCATGGAGACTAGAAGAGGCAGAGCTTCTGGAACTGGAATTGAGAGTTTGCTAGCATCGTGTAGGTGCTGAGAACTGAACTCCTAGCCCCTGGGAAATCACAAGTGCTCTTAAGTTCATGTGGAGCCACCTCCTTCCTTGGCCCCCTTTTTTGATAGCTTGACAATGATACATTTTGGAGAGGTTCTTCCCTGGTCAGCTCTCTTTAGGGTTCTAAACACTTTCTGTGCTTCTGCATCTATTTCTTTCTGTAAGTGGGAAATTCTGCGTTCTGTAGACTTTTATCATTTTATTGAAAAGATTATTTAAGGCATTTGATTTTATCTTAGCTCTTTCAAACTCAAGTGTATTCAACTACTGAGCCATCTCTCTAGTCCGGCAGCCAAAACATGGTTCGTTTTTCTCTAGCATGTCAATTTCACTACTGACTCTTCCCCTATATGCTTTATTTTTTTTCCTCTGATTTACTATCTCTTTCACCCACTTTGGTTACTTTCTTGTCTAGGTCCTGAATTTAGTGATTTATTTGAGTCTTCTTTTTGATACTTTTTTATTATTCAATTTTTTAAATTTATTTTACATACCAGTCACAGTTTCTCCTCCCTCCTCTCCTCCTGTTCTTCTCTCCCACCCCATCCACTCCTCAAAAAGGGTAAGGCCTCCCATGGGAGTCAACAAGCATGGCATATCAAGGACTAAACACCCCCCCTCCCCTGCCCCCCACTGCATCAAGGCTGAGCAAGGCATCCCACCATAAGGAAGAGGTCCCAAAAAGCCAGCTCATGTGCCAGGGACAGATCCTGGTCAGACTGTTAGAGATCCCACAAGCAGACCAAGTTACACAACTGTCACCCACATGCAGAGGGCCTAGGTCAGTCTCCATGCAGGCTCCCTAGCTGTTGGTCTAGAGTCTGTGTGTTCCCATGAACTTGGTTCAGTTGTCTCTGTAGCTTTCCCCATCATGATCTTGACCCCCCCTCCAGCTCATATAATCCCTCCTCCCTTTCTTTGACTGGATTCCCAGAGCTCAGCCCAGTGCTTGGCTGTGGAAACATAGGATTCTGAAACAATTTTCTGCCCGTCCAGTCCTTTATTTATCTTGGTTTTCTTGTGATGAAACACTTAGAGCTTATGGGGATGTCATAGTGGAATGCTGTCTCATTTTGTGTGTGTGTGTTTCTTAGATATGTCTCGTGCATCTGTTGAAGTGTTATGTGTCTTCTTGCTTGTAATTTCCCTCCTTTCTCACTTTATTTTGCACATTTTATCTCATGTCAGCCTTTCTGGTAGGTTGTCTTCATTTGGATGTATATTCAGGAGAAGAGCTGGTGCTGTAATAACTATGATGATTTGTCAGCATTCCCAGTGTTAACTGAAAAAGTAGATACTTGCACACTTCACTTGTGTCCTCTACAAATTTGATACACAGGGGAACGTACCAATTTCCATCACAAACTTCCTGTGATCCATATGCCTAAGAGTGGGTCAGGGATTGTGGTGGGAATTTCTTTAACAGACTTCTGTGGCTACGATCACAGTTGGTTCTGCTTGGGATCAGTATGATGTACCATTTTCCACACTCTGCTCAGCTCTTCCTGGGGTCCTTTGCTCCATGGGGCAAAGGCAGGGGGTGAGAGATGAGCATTTCATAATTTTCAACTTCAGGATTCCTGCATTTCTTCTCCAGAGCTGTGTCCCTGAGCTAAGCTGTTTTTCTCTAACGGTATGTGTTAGAGTTAACTTCTACAGTGCTCTCCCCATAGGTTCATTGCTTGCTTCTCCAGGCATCGGTGTGGCAGGGAGGTGGTGGGCACTGGACATCTCTCATTTCAGATTCTGTACCCAATTTTTAACACTTGTCTGTTGCTAGAGTTTTCCTGGTCCTGCCTGGCCCACAGTCAGGACAAATCTCTCTTACCCACCAGTTCAGCAGCCACTCAGATCCAACCAAGTAAACACACAGAGATTTATATTACTTATTAACTGTATGGCCATGGCAGGCTTCATGCTAACTGTTCTTATATCTTAAATTAACCCATTTCTATTAATCTATAAGTTGCTACATGGCTCCTGGCTTACCAGTATCTTAACATCTGCTTCTCAACGTGGTGGCTGGCAGCGTCTCTCTGTCTCAGCCTTCTTCCTCCCAGACTTCTCCTCCCTCTTTGTCCTGCCTATACTTTCTGCCTGGCTACTGGCCAATCAGCACGTTATTTATTAACCAATCAGAGCAATACATTCACAGCATAGAGAACATCCCACAGCACATGTCTGTGCTTTTTGGTCTCTTTTACTTTCTGGCTGGTGAGTTCCACCTCTGATTTTGGTTTCCTGCAGTGTGAACGGTCTCTCTGTGGTTCTTGCCATGCTGAGTGCTCAGAATTCTTTCTATGTAAGTCTCTTCAATGTGGTAGATGGAAGCATTCTCTCCGGTGGTATGATGTGGGCAGGAGGTATCATGTAACAGCCACTTAAGGTTTTCTTCAAACCACACCTTCAAGACAAAACCTTTCCACAAAGGTTTCAGACAAGAACATGTGCTGAAGGAAAACATTGTTGCTTTAAAGTCTGGAGCATCTTGTCCAGTCTTCTTGTGCAGGTGTTCAAAACAACAAAACTAAAACAGCAGTGGAACTGGGCATGTAGTGAATGGCTTGTAATCTCAGCACTTTAGAAGCTGAAGCAGGAGGATTACAAATGTGAAGCCATCTTGGGCTACATAATTGAGACTCTGTATCAAAAACAACAAATGAAGAACAACCTAAATCCACCAGCAATGAAGGCTAAGAAATGTATCTGTAATGTAATGCTGCCTCCAACTTTGATCTGCTTAAGTTTCTTCTCACCCAGGAAACTCTACAGAATAAAGCTCAGGGGAATTACATTTGACAGCAGTAAGCATATATTGATGAGTCCAGGTCCTGCTCACAGTACCAGGTCTCAGTTTTTGGTGGTCTCTGTCTTACTTATATGAACTTACATGTCTTACTTAC